AAGAAGCGTTTTATTTCCAGGTTCTTGGCTGTGGATCAGTGTTGAAATAATGGCATAAGTAAGCAGATGAGCAAGATGGTATGCGTTATCTTGTCTTAGCCTCTCTCCATCTCTTGCTGTATACACAGCCTTTTTAACACTAGAGTATGAGCTCTATTGAAGGCAAGCATTGTGCATTTTATTCAGTGTTGAGAAAAGCCTTTTTATTGGTATAGTCACTGTGAAAAAAGAATAATCCTTGCAGAGTAATTTTAGTCCAGTACAATTGAATGCAAGTCAAATCTCATTTCCTACTTTTAAAAAAATCGGAATCAGATGTTTCATTGTAAAAACAACTTTGCAAACATTGGTTATAAGTGCATTGAATGCCTAATACTATATTTGGTTCCAGAACTTGTAGTTTTAGTTTGGAGAACATTATGCAGAATGTGAGAGTGTATGTGAAAGACAATCTGCATTGTGTGTCAGATTTTGGAATAGAGTTGGAATGCCCTGGAGATTGAAGAAAGGAAAGACCACCCTGCCCCCGCCCCGCCTCCTCACCCTCAATGGGAATGTTGGTCAAAGACACTTCAGTGATGCAAGGAGGGCCTCAATCTGGACCTTAACGGAAATGTCCACTTTTCATTTGCAGAGATGTAAGGACTCTCCTGGGCTGGGGGAACAGCTAGAAGCCTAGAACCAGGAATGAGAAAATGGAGGATAGGAAGACAACCTGCTACCGGAAACCGAATTTATTTTAGGGAGAAATCAGGCTGGATATTAAGGCTGACCAGTTTGGTGGAAGAGGAGCCATGGAATACCCAGCTGAGGAGTTTAAATTTAACCTGTTTCCTATCATACATTCTTAATCAGCAGGCAGCTTTAACTAGCAGTTACTATTCACTTGCCTCTGGTCAAACAACTTTTCAGGGCTCAAACTCAGGTCTTCTAAGTCCATAAATCTGTTTGCCTGGAGCCTTAGCAAAGATGGAATTGAGGTCTTAGTAGTGAACGGGCCTCCAGCTCAAGAGTCAGAAGAGCTTGAGGCAAGAAGCCAACTTGGCTGGGCCCCAGCTCTTCTATTTGCTCAATGAGTGCAGACTAGTTATCTTGAAAGTTCCTTCCAGATCTAAAATCCAATGATTGAGCTTAAGTAGAGGTTGTGCAAGGTGAGAAATAAGAGGAAGAGTGGAAGATGATGCTTGTCTAGACAAGTTTTGACTCTTGGAAAATAGTGGCACTATTTACTAAAATGGGGAAGTTAGAGAAGGAAGCAGATTTTTTCCCCTGCTTTATCTTTTTATTTGAATACTTGCTTGTTTTGTTTTGTTTGTAGGGAGGATATGGTTTTAGGCAAATGGAATGGTCCTCTAGGCAACTGAAAATATAGGAGTTAATTCTGAGTAAGTGGTTAGGGCTGGAAATGCAGTTGGGGTCAGAAAGGCACGTTTTCAACCTGTGTGTTGATAGGTATCTAGAAGCTGCAAAAAGGCTGCTGAGGAAGAAACATGGGGACCAAGTGGAGGAAGAGGAAAGACAAAATTGGTAGAAATGAGAAGAAAACAATGTCACAAAGCCAAAGTGAGAGTTTCAAGGAAATACATCTGAAGGCTATAGTGTTAGGTACACTGAGAATGAAGATAAGTTCAAGTCACGGCTTTGACCTGCAGTGGCACTCGTGGCAGTGCTACCCCAGGGGAGTTGTGGAAACAGCAGCAGGTTGAGGTCAAAATTGTATGGAACTGTAGGTAACTAAGCAAAGACAAATTTTTTCCCCCACAAGTGTCGTTGTAAAGTTACTTGCAAAGTTTACCCACCTAGGAGTGGGATTGTTGGGTCATATGGTGAGTGTACATTTAATGTTAAGGAACAGCCAAACTGTTTTCCAAGATGGCTGTACCGTTTTGCTTTCCTACCAGTAATGCATGCGAGTTTCCGGTTACACCACCCCCTGGTCAGCACTTGGAGTTTTCAATTTTGTTGTTTTCTTTTTTAAGCCATTCTATGTATGTAGAGGTGTCTCATTGTGGATTTAATTTGCATTTTCCTGATGACTAATGACACTGAGCATCTTTTTGTTTGCTTTGTTGTCATCTGTCTTCTTTGGTGAAGTAACTATTCAACTCTTTTGCCCTTTTTTTTTAAAATTGGCTTGTTTTCTCATTAAGCTGAGAGTTTTAACATATTCCAGATATGTCCTTCATCAGATGTGTAATTTGTGCAGGTTTTCTTCCTGTCTTAGTACACATTTTATTATTCTCTGTGTCGACATGAAAGCGTGCATGCAGCACTTCCACTGTATTGTGGAATAAGGTGGTTGTCTCCAGGATAAAGCGCTTCTGAGACTGAGTTGCAGCTGAAACAGCTCCTTCTCTTCCCCACACAGAATCTCATTTTTACTTGAAAGGATAACTGACAAACTGGTTATTAAGACTTGAATGTGTTCTCAAATCTCAAAATTATCTAAAAACTACTTGAGATAGTCTCTTAAAAATGAATGAGGCGAACCTGTCACTTCATGGAAAACAGCTGACAGTATTTTTGCTGATGATAACATTAGAACTCCCCCATTTTTAAAATAGAATTTTGGAAAGCTTGTATCAACTACTGTTATCTTAAAAATTCCCGATACTTAAGTTTTTCTGATGAGATTGGTGATGCTGTTACCATATGATTGTGGGTACTGTGCAATGGAATGAGTCAGCGTTTGAAAGATCTGTGATACATTTTCAAATGACCTGTACAGGATGTTATAAAATCATATGTGGGTAAAAGATCCATTCAAAATACATTGTGATGTATGAGAGTTCAAAGTCTATGATACAGTTTCAGGTTCCACACTGCAACTAACCTTTAAGAAACTGCCACTTGTCACATTTTGGTATGATGCCAAAAAGAATATCCACAACTATCTACAAAAACTATTAAAATACTCCCCCCTCTCCCAACTATATATCAGTATGAGGCTGGAGTTTCATCATATACTCAACCAAAATGTATGTCAACAGACTGAATGTAAAAACATATGAGAATCTGGCTGCTTTTCATTAAACCAGATATTAGAGAGATTTGCAAAAATAAAAATGTTAAACAGTGCCACTCTTATTGCTACATTTTTTTGTTTTAGAAGTTATTTTTCACAAAAATGTGTGAACATGTAAATTCGTTATAACTTTAGTTGATAATTTTTTTTAATGTTTCTTTGAATTTCTATATAAATTTCTTTGGAGTCTTCAATAATTTTGAAAAGTGCAAAGAAGTCCTGAGTCCCCCAAAAAAAGAGAAAGAAAAAAGTATGGATTGCTGCTTAAGAAAATGTAATTCCAGCATCGGAGTTGTGTACTGGTTGGTGATGGAAAACATGATATGCCCTAGCCCGAAGCTTCTTAGGTTTGAGGTTCCTAGTTCTCAAAAAGGAATTTTTATTGGGCTGGCCGAGTGGCTCAGTTGGTTAAGAGCTCGCTCAAGAGTTTGAGCTCTGAGCAACAGCGGTTCGAGTCCAGCCTGAGCTGAGCAGCCGCTGAGCTGCCAACAGGTAGCAGGATGGCTCAGCCAAAAACCAAAACAAAACAAAACAAAAAAAACAAGGAATTTTTATTTACAGAGTTGATGCATTTTATGTTCTTTAAAATGAGATATTGTTATAGTTCCCTCTTTAACTGTCTTCCATTATCATAGATGATATTAAACACTTCAGATAAACCAATTATGTGCTTTTATGGGAAGATCTGTACCCCTTTCTGCACCAAATCAGCCAGAAACCTCAATGACAAGTGAAGATAGTAAAGTTATACCTCATTTACTTAGTCCTTCCCCTGTTTATCTCAAATAGAGTTTCTCGTTAGTGCTGGAAGTAAAGGCTGACATGAGAGAAGACTTACCTAACCCACAAACTGGATATCACCGTACCTTAGGAGAGTCATTGCTGACTGTGTAGCTCAGGGATTTATTCAGCCCGGGCCCGATAGCTAGACGTTTAACACTGAGCCTTTTCATTCTCGTCAGTATTCCGCAGACTGAGATATTGTGAGGCACTTTCCTTATTTTTGTTGGTGCTTTCTCTCCTGGTACTTGAAATGCCAGCAGGAATGCGATGCATGCAGAGGCTGTCTTGACGCTGTAGACAGCAGACACCCTGATTGAACACCCGGAAGAGCTGGTTAAGAAATCACAGAATAATCAAAGCAGATCTCTTAGTTTGAGAGCAGTGAGGTTATTATCTTCGTATGCAGGAGACCATGTGATTATAAAATGACTCCTTTTTGGCTTTTATATGCCATTGTGTTAGATTGTAGCATTTAAATGGTGGCTATTGGCCCAATGGTGGGGGGCACGCTTTTTAAACCTGGTGACTATATCTAAGAGCATCCTAGATGATAGTACTTACGGCCTAGTAAACAAGAGACACAGCAGTCTGCTCCCCCGCATTGCTTAGTCCAGGGAAGTAGATATGTGTAAAGCTAATAATATTTGGAACTCTTCTAATGAGAAGATTAGGTTTAAAAATGCCCCAAATAAAAATACTCAACCCTTAAAAGCCTAGCTGTGTAAGAGTAACCCTTTCTTCACCCCTTGACTCCCACCCCCACCCCAAGAAAAGCTGTACTAAGACTGCTACATCTGAATATAAATTACTATCCCACCAAATGGCAGCATGTGGGAAGGTTAATGGCCCTTTAGTTAATTTGTAGGATTGCTTCTTACACGACTTTAAGCATAGTCTGTTCAGAACAAAATTAGATTTTTGTGTTTCTCAAACAAACTTGGTATTATAGCTAGTTAAATAATGGCTATTTTATTCTGAACCTCAGCTGAGAACATAATCCTCAGACTGTTGCTTTAAAGTTTTGAACTTTGATATTTGTCCGTGAAGAGCCTTCTATGAAGACTTAACAACACTTGTGGGAATGGCGGTGGACGAGGGTGGTGTGTGACCGTAAGTGTTCCCTTAAGTCACACGTAGCTTGTTCATGGAACATGTCCTGTGACTGCCATCCTCTCTCTCACCCCGGTCACAGAGAAGTACAGAAAGCAGTCAACACTGCCCAGGGGCTGTTTCAGCGATGGACAGAGCTCCTCCAGGACCCCTCCATGGCGACGAGGGAGGAAACGGACTGGACCACCAACGAGCTGAGGAACAACCTCCGCAGTATAGAGTGGGACCTCGAGGATCTGGACGAGACCATCAATATCCTTTTCTGTGGTACCTGTGCCCTGTGGGGCCAACAGGCAGGCAGCTGGGCCAGTTTTTATCCAGCTTTTATCAAGCACATAAGTTGTGCATTTCCTTTTACAATCGATTGATGCTGTTTTATTTGTACCACGACACACTTAAACTAATTGCCCTGTAAGCTAAGGGAGAGTAGCCTGATTCTTCTACAGCATGGGGCATACCCTGCAGTACAGGCAGCGTCGTACAGTGGTTATGCCCTCGAGTCAGGCTGTGTGTTCAAATCCCGGCCAGCTAGTTACTGTGTGACTTAGGGCACGTCACTCTGTGCTCCAGTTTGCTTTCCTGTAGAAAGTGGGGATGATAATAGTACCTAGCTCCTACGGTGGTTGCAAGTTTAACAGGTAAAGAGCTTGGAATGGTGCCTGACACACACTGAGCATCTATGAAAGTGTTAGCAGCTGTTATTACACAGAGGTACACACAGACCCCTCTTACACATTGGTAATGAGAGAGCAGAAGAAAGTCCTTGTGTAGACTGCCCTTGTCCTGTTCAAGACGTGACGTGACACTGCCAGTGTCTCCTGGAGAGGCACCTGTGCCCTGAAACTGCATTTAGTAAACGCAGGTGTGTTGTGCTAAGTTATGCTGTTGATGTTAAATAAGTCCATTGATGTGACTGATGAACCAGAAAACTGTAAAAGCTGCGTTACGTGGCCTTTTCCACTGGAAAAATCCCATTTAATTAAAACTTTAGGTTGAAGACATGCTGGTTGCATGTTTGGAGCTTTGCTTTGTTCTTTTCTTTCATTGGGATGAAAACATCAAGGAAACCAGACTGTTGGGATCCCTCCCTCATCAACACAGGATCTCTGCATGTAATGTGTGGAGAGCCTCGTTTCTATTCATCGTAAGGACCCCAGGCACCTTTGAAATTATTCAAAGACAAGCATGTTCTCAACAGAATATGCTAAGGGTGGGATCAAAAGCACAGTTATAGGGAGTTACGTCTTCCCTTGAGATGGGAGGGAAGAGAAACAGATTGGGGGAAACAGAAATTGTGAGAGAAACAGGACAAGTTTTAATAGATACTCAGAGATACTGTTCAGTAAATAGTTATTGAAATGTACAGTGTGCTGGACATTTTGTTAGTTTCTGAAGCTGGAATGAGAAGCATAGCAGCGTACCAGCCCTCATGGAATTTACAGTGGGGGTGGGGGGGCGGGTAGAGAGGGCTGGGGGCCCGGGAAGCAGACATTAACCCAATCACAGCACAAATATATACTGCACACTATGAGAGGAAAGTAGAGAACCTTGCGAGTGTCTGAGCGGGGCGGCAGGACTTCCCTGAGGGTGAGATCCGGAAGCTTCACTCTAGATTAAGAAGCAGGGTGAGCTTCTTGACATAAGTGGAATGGTTTGGAACGGCAAATGAAAAAGGCTTGCGAAAGGTATCATGGAAAGGGCGATCTGAAGTCAAAAAAGAACAGATATGAAGTGCTAGCAGGCATCTGAAAGAGCCCACCCCCTGGCTGTTGGTCAGCTAGCCATGGGTTTCTGTGACCCAGGCAGGGCTGTGGCTCTTAGCCTGGCAGGTCATCTCTGCCTTGGGGCACAAGGGTCCGCCTATGGCTGTGGGCAGAGAAAGTCTGAGAATGGTTCGTGTCAAGGTGACCGTGTGGTCAGAAACGTTGGGCCCGACTTTATTGCTTGCCTGTGAGTGAGTCAGTAGTTTAACATGATGCTGTTTGTTAGGTTTTTGATGATGACACGGCTTTACCTTGACTTTTTGACCCACGCATAGTTGAAGCCAATCCTAGAAAATTCAATCTCGACGCAACTGAATTGAGTATAAGAAAAGCCTTCATCACAAGTACCCGGCAAGTCGTCAGGGTAAGGAACGTGATGCTGTCGTGTTATATGCGTAAGAAACGGCAAACTTCTCAGAACTCTTTCCCTTAATTTTACACTAACAGGTCAACTCGGAAACCACTTTTTCGTATGAATTAAATATCAGTTTCCCACATAGAATTCCTCTAGGTGAAAAAGAAATGTCTTCAGTGTTGTCAGACTTATTTCTTAGAGCAAAAATGAGGACGTAGACGGCTGGCTTTGGGAAGTTACTTCAGTGGGGTCCCGCTTGTCTGTACCTCTCATTCCCGCAGACCAGTTACCGTTTTTCCTCTTTAGTTCTTAGTACACTCTATTTCTGGGCAAAAGGAAGAATTACTATTGTAGAAACCATTTGGTTCCTTGATGGATTGGTAATCACTTTGCATTGGGAAGAGTGAGTCTTCCTGGGTTTGGATGGCGGCCTCTTTCACCATCTGAATTGCTTCTGGAACTCTTGCAACCGTGTTACTAACATTTCCATATACAGCTGCTTGACAGCCATGCAGGAGATATCCAGAGCAAGCAAGCATCTATCTGAGTGTAAAAAACCAATCCAAGTGAATAAATACTTAGTCTCAAATTATCTTGATAATAACCTATTGTTTAAAAGCCTCAGAGAAAATGTCATTTAAGTGAAATCTTGTATCATTAAGCTATGTTTGCATTTTGAAACTATAGGGCTAAAGCCATTTGATTAGCATAACGAGATATAAGACAACCAGCTGTCTTTAACATATGTACTAGAAAGCAGCTTCCTTGAATAAAAAATCTTGGGATCATATCAGTGCTGACATATGGCTTTTAAGAGGCATCTTAGGCAGGAACCTTGGTATATGTTTGCCAAAGATTTTATGTCATGTGATTTCCTTTGGACAAGATTTCAAGTGGTAGATTATCACTGAACTTTAAATATTCTTGTTCTTTGTTTTATTCATTAGGTGCCTTTCTATATACATGTATCTGAATTGCTTATAAATAAACCCACATCTTAATGGGGGCAGTAAACTTTTTGGACCTCAGGTGCCCCCGTCTATATAATAAGCATTTGGATTAGACACTCCTAATTTCTAGCCGGTTCAAAAAACTATTCTGATAAGGAAGTCCCAGTGTTATGCGACGTATTTTTTGGAAAGGTAAATCATTCACCAATTATTTATTTTACAAATGTAGTTTGCTTTTTTATTTTTTGTAATAGATTTTCTGAAGGACACTACTGTAGGTTTGTAAATGATGCCTTGCTGTGAAGCACATGTTCTTGACCTTAATCATTAGAGTTGTTTTAATTGAAATTCAGAGGTCAATCCCTTGACAGTTAAGTTAGTTGTTATAATTGGAAGTAGAATCCAAAGTTTGTTTTCTAGTATCTGAAAAGTTTTTTTAAAGTGCAGTCTTCGAAAGAAGTATTCTAAATCAAGTTCATACATCCTTGAAGTCCCCCTGGAGTTGAGATCTAAACCATACTCAGCTGTATGATCTAGCTGAACACTTTAGGGTTTTTAATCATTCTTGTTTTAACCTATGACCCCTTTTTGGGAGGCTGTATTTGCCAGTGGAGGGTTAACAGTACCTAACGGAGCTTTTGCTGACCTGAGTTTAATCAAGTCCAGCAGAAAGCCTGTAGAAGAGGACAGAATGGGCGCTCTGAAAGTTGAAGCAAAGTGGTTCTTATTTGGACTTCCCACAATAGGCATTATGAAAGCTGTGACACCGTCTAATCTACCATTCGCTTGTCATACATAGGTCTTGGAAGAAGTTTCTAAAAGCCTAATACCTCAACATTTACATCTATAAAATAGTCTACTTGCCAACAGAAATTTATAAAGTACTTTGGCAGCCTTTAAGAAAAATTGTATTACAGTAATCATTATTCAGCTCAAATCATTTTGTGGTTAAAAATGGCAGGTAAAATGGCTCATATTTTAATAAAGTGGCTTCATTGTAGGTAACGGGTCCATTCATTTTTCTTTCCATTCAAAATTATTTCTGGTGCCACTCTGGATATTCTGATGTTAGAAATAATCTATAATGCATCCAACTCAAAAAGAAGTGACTTGTTATATCGCTCTTCAGAAGTCTTCTCTGGTGTTTAATGGTAATTATTCTAAAGTGCATGGTTTCTTACATGTAATACATAAGAAAATGCTAGCCCTTGAGCACAGGCTTTTGTTTACTCCAGAACTGCCATTTTTCGACTATGTAACCTTGAGAAAGTATCTTAGCCTTTCTAGATCTCAGTCTCTTCGACTGTAGAACAGAGATAACACCAGCTTTACAGGGTTGTCGTGAAAATTCAGAGATAACGTGCGTAAGCATGTAACAGTGTTTCTGGCCTATGGTAGGTTCCCAGGAAATGCTAGTTCCCTTCCTCTTTGCTCTGATTTCAATTTAGTATTCAGGTTACCTGTTTTTAAGGGGACATTTTTCTTATTATTTCCTTTATTTTTGAGGCTGAAAAAGCCAAACAATGCTATCTTTTCGCCAAAAAAAAATTAGTAACTTACACGTATTTTGCTTGTGTGCCAAATATTAACCATGATTTTTTTTTCATCTAAGGATATTCATTTATTTTCTGGTCTTCTACTTATCTCATTAGGACATGAAGGATCAGATGTCAACTTCATCTGTGCAGGCATTAGCTGAAAGAAAAAATAGACAGGTGAGTAAACATATGAATCTACAGTATCAGAGAAGATACACAGTTAGATATTGGGAATTTAAAAATGCTGACATCTGTGTGTCCTGTGATCGTGCAGAAGCCCTGTGCATGCTGAGCCTGGAAGGAGGCTGGCGGGTTTTGTGTAAGTCTAGTCACCTCTCTGGTGACTGCCCCTGCACCACAGTCACCTGTTCCTCCCTTGCACCCGCTGCTGCTCTCCTCTAGGATTCATGGGGCCCTGTGCTTCTTTACTCCTATAGTCCTTACCACCCAGCCGTTTATTTTGCACCTGCTGTGTCAGGTGCTGTTAAGGGCTGTTATTGCTTAGTTTCTTGTCTTTTTTCTGCTGGACCCCAAGTTCCTTGAGAATGAGGAGAGATTGGTCATGGGGTTTTTTTTATTTCTACCTGCTGTTACATTGCTTATCTCATAGAACTCACTAGACATTTAATGATTGAAAGTTGATGAAATTCAAAATGAAATGAAAGACATTTGAGGAACCTTCAATGTATGTTAAATTAAATCTTCCATCATTTTAAATATCTTTTTTGAGAGGAGGTCCAATTTTTATTAGTTAATACAAATAAATTATGAAACCTAATACATTTCAGAAACCAAAGCACAGAAATTGACACATCAAAAATAAAAGCTACAAGAGACCAGTTCTTGAATTTTAAGTATCTTTTTAAAATTAGGCAACCCCCCAGCTCCCGTCTGGGAAGCCTTTCAGTTCAACCAAAGGGCATTGGGATTTTTGTCATGGGAAAAACTGAACAGACATTGGTGGTTCTCATGCCTTCTGTGTGTGAGAGGCTGTGACTTAGCTTTTGGTCATTCTGAGAAACTCTCCCTTCCTCTCTCCAAAAAAACCACAAAAACTTCTTGGGTCATAGGATTCCAGATCTCCAGAATCAGACTAGAACCTGTGGGTCGCTGGTGAACTCCCAAGGTGCTAGGAAAAGCTGCCCTAAAGAGACTGAGTGCCTATAGATTGTAAAGCAATGCACAGATGGGCAATTGTTGATTTCAAGTTGACCTTTATTTGCATTTTAATGGGACAAAGCCCATTTGTCAGTCCCATTGGGAGAGCTTGGGGACAGCATGCCCTTCGTGGCGTTCGTTCCTTAAACTGTACCACACAGGCATCCCTCCACTCCGTAAAGGTCAGCCCCGGGGAAACAGGTAATAAGCAGCATGAGGACTCTTTATAGCGCCGTGACGGGGTGCTTGTTCAGAAGCAGAACCGAGGCTCCCCCCTGACCTGGCCGCCCCCTGCCCCACTCTCGCAGGCACTGCTGGGAGACAGTGGCGGTCAGAGCTGGAGCGCAGGAACACCGGATAAATATGGGCGCCTGGACCGCGAGCTCCAGTTAGCCAACTCCCATTTCATCGAGGAGCAGCAGGCACAGCAGCAGGTATGGAATGTGGGTCCTCTGCCAGCCAGGGGGCTGTGAGTGACGCTGGGCAGGTTGGACCGGAGCTCGCCCTGCGGCTCTGCATACAGAAAGGGTGCCTAAAACCTCCTCCAGAGCACGGCTGTTTCAGGAGAACCAAGCTTGATTAGGTCTCTTAGGAAAAGAAGGCCTGACCTCCAAAACTGACAGACAAGGTCACTGATGTAAAAACAAACAAAATCTTCTTCCCTGGTCTCCACTCATTTACTCAGTGTTTTTGTTCATTTCAACAAAGGTGAACTTTCAGAAAAATGGAGTCCTGGTTTCTTCTTTGAAAATTATTGTCGTTTCCTTTATATATAAGAATGATTGCTTTGGTGGAGGTGAAGGGGTAGAAGGAGAGGTTGATTTGGTCTGTGTTGTTGCTTTTGATGTGTAGATGTAGTCATAAAAGGAAGCCAATAATGTGCCTGAGGATTTGAGGATTATCTATCCGTTGCAACTACTGGTTCTTAAATATTGTGTTTTACATATATATTTTATATAGTTTATATGTTCTTTTGTTTTTTCCACTCGCATTGTCTGCTTAACCAGTTGTCTGCTTAAATTGCTATTAACCAAGCAAACTTTTTTATGAAAAGCGAGGAGGCAGATTCATCAGTCAGTGTGTCCTTGAGGTAACCTACTGCCACGGGGCCTCCTCCAGTTTGTCCTTGAGGAGGAAGCCAAGACTCCGTGTATATGGCTTTCCCATGTCCAGAGATTTACCACATTCTCTTGTATTTAAGTTGGTTGTGGGTTGAGACCTTGACCCTGGCAGTGGGATTCCCCTTCCTAAGCATCCCCACGTCTCAGTGGTCACCGTACAGGTGCTTTGAGCCATTGTCTGTTCTCTCATTGGACTTCAGCCAAGCAGAGTAAATCTCTCAGGGTGATTTTAAGCCTCGCTGGCTGTTCACGAGTTGGATCAGCAGGAGGGATCAGTAGCTTGACAATTCAGCCTTTTGAGCAGCGTGTTCTGGGAGGCGGCGGTCTAGTCCTTTGATTTCTGGGCTTTGCTTCTGAATGCGAATTGTCCCAAGTTGGCAAAGAAGCCAGCAGCTGCTAGTGTGCTGGGCTTGGAACCAGGTAAGAGGGGTTTTAACGGCTTGTCCCCCCTTCTCTGGCACCAGCTGATCGTGGCACAGCAGGATGAGCAGTTGGAGCTGGTGTCTGGCAGCATCGGGGTGCTGAAGAACATGTCCCAACGCATCGGCGGGGAGCTGGAGGAACAGGCCGTGTGAGTGCCAGCCGCCCCTGTCGCGGCCGTGACATTGAGGGGAGGAGCCTACAAAGCCCGACGGTTATGTGACTAGTAAACTGAAAAGCTGTTTCATTTATAGCTGCATTTTTATTCTGTTTCACAGACTAGTATCTCCAAAAGAAGCAAATTATCAGGTCAAATATTTGACAGGGTTTAGGCAGAGTTATGTTTTTTTTTTCAACACCTGCAAAAACAGATACAAATTCCTCTGAGCAGATACTTGAAGTGTTGTCATGAATGGAGATGTGAAACAGATACGGCTGTGTCAGCTCTGTGGGGAGTCGTGTCCCGAAGAGGGTAGGACGTGAGCTCACTTAGTTTTATCACCCCATTGCTCCCCCACTACACCGAACAAAGCCTTTTGCTTTGCATCTTACATTTCAGCTTCCTGAGAAAACCTTACAAACTTAACTCCAATTAATAAAAAAAAAATCTTCCCCTTCAAAAAAAATCACACAAGGAAACATAGCTGGGTTTGCTTGTTTTTCCTTAAGCATTCTGAAATAGGACACCAAAAGCAGCATTCTCAAAATGCTACTACATAATACCTTTACCATTTTACAAATTTTTTCTGAAAAAAATAAGGTAGTCCCACTAGGATATATTCAAAAGCCTCCTATCTCAATTCTGTGTTCAGTGTTACACATTCAATTATTATAAATTTAAACAGGGCATCTGTTCCAGCAGGCGCTGGGTATTGACAGAGGAGCAGACAGGATAGACAGTGTCTCTACCGGAGAGTTTACCATTTACTGGGTAGAATGGACGTGATAGAAATGAATGCAAGTCACGAAACGGTGACAGACGTGGGAGGACTGCTGTGATGGGGGAAGTGTGTGGTGTTTTGAGAACCCTAATTTAGCCTGAGCTGCAGCCCTAACCTAGTCCAGGGTCCCTGAGAAGAGAGGTTTCACTGGAGCCAGAAGGATAGGTTAGAAGGCAGCCAGGTGTGGTGAGCGTGGGGGTGGAGGAGGGACATGAAGGGTGAGGGCTTACCTGGAGGGAGAAAGCACCTGTGAAAGCTTGGAGGTAAGAAAGTGCATAGGACAGAAGGGGTTAGTGTGTCTAGAGCAGCGGTTCTCAACCTTCCCAACGCCGCGACCCCTTAATACAGTTCCTCATGTTGTGGTGACCCCCAACCATAAAATTATTTTTGTTGCTACTCTATAACTATAATTTTGCTACCGTTATGAATCGTAATGTAAATATCTTTTTGTTTTCCGATGGTCTTAGGCGACCCCTGTGAAAAGGTCATTCGACCCCCAAAGGGGTCGCGACCCACAGGTTGAGAACCGCTGGTCTAGAGGATGGGGACTGAGAGGCACTGCAGAGGTCAACCGGAGGCAGAGAACAGGTTTGGGAGGACTCAGAAGCCATGTTAAGTGAGGAGTTCGAACCTTTTATCCTGAGGGTGGTGGGAAACCAGGGAAGGTTGTGTTAGCAGTAATGCCATGGTCAGGCCTACAGTTTTGGAAGGTCTGTCTGTGGTTTAGTGGAGTCAGACTGGAAGCAGGGAGACCTCAGTAGGAAGCTGGAAGAGCAGGAATCTAGGCGTGTGTGTTTAACTTCTGTCTAAAATTCATTCCAGTGTGGGGATGGGGAAGGACTATTTGCCTGGGCAGATGAGATAGCCTGGCAGACTTGCAGTGAAAGATGGTGACTTGAACACACCATCTCTATTCCCTCTCTCTAAAGCCCACTAGAACAATAGCCAAGGGATTTTGCTGTGGCTTTAACCTATGGGGACACGGAGCAGAGAAGAAGAAACAATAACCAGAGTAACAGTTTAGAGCCTGGAAAGTAGAAAGCTGAATGGTTACTGACTCAGCAGACCAGAGAAAGCGGCCTGCTCAGCCAGCTGAGGGGAGAGCCAGGAGCCGGGTGACTCCCACCACAGAAACGCCCAGCTGGGAAGAGCACTTCCTCACTCAGAACACTGAACCCTGCAAGTTGATCTCATCAAACTGTGACACAATTGTATTGGAAGAAAGGGGGAAGAAAAGTGGGAAGGAAGCAGAGGTGGGGTGCAGTGGGAGGAGAGCTAAGCCCTAGCATTCCACGGTGGGGAGTCAGCAGGACCAGGGTACAGAGGTGCAGGCGGGTTACTTAAAAAAATCAGAGAAAGCACCAAGAGAAGAGTGTGAGGGGTTGAAAGCATTTGCCCGAGGGAACGGTAAACAACTGTGGTTGTTAATAAAAAGCCTTGTAGGATTATTTAGTTCTCTAAATTATGTATGTATGTGGCTCTGATAAAAATAATAAGCTCAATAGAAGGAGAAATACATGGGTTTTGGACTTAGACCTGTGCTGTCCGGTAAGGAGCCACTAGCCACGTGTGCCCTTGAGTATGTGAAGTGTGGCCAGTCTTAATCGAGATGTGCCCTGACGATAAAATGCACTCAATTTTGGAAAAAAAAAAAGAAAAAGAAAAAAGTAAAATAGCTTATTAATGATTTCTTATATTACATGTTGAAATGATAATATTTTGAATATATTAGGTGAAGTAAAACAGATTAAATTTATGCTTTTTTTTTTTTAAACCCGGCTACTAGACAATATTAAATGGCCTGTGTGACTCACATTCTGTTTCTTTTGGACAACACGGAGTTAGGTAGATCTGAGCTAGAAGCTTGAGTCGTGGGTGCCCTTGGCCTAGAGGTTGGGCGACGTGCCCGTTTTGTCTTCGGGAGGAAAGGTCCTGCCCAGTGCACCAAGGTAGCTCTTGTTTTTGGGATGTGGCCCTGCCTGGGGAGGTCTGCAGCTGCAAGGCCAAGGTGCTAGCCAGTGGGGTCTAAACTGAGCTCACAATGTGCGAGTTGGAAAATTCAGATGAGGGACAAAGCCTTGTTTATTTAGCTGTCAACATTGCATTTATTTAATAATTGACTTCATAAGGACTTGGTTGCCCCAAATCCTGCAGGGCTGTCAGGCGCTGCACGTGGTTCCAGACCTAGACCGATAGTTTCTAGCTGCCATGGATGCTATCGGAGTAATAAAACCCTTTAATAAGACTTTTGGCACTAATTGGTATGTCACATTCCATCCTCAGGATAATCATGTTAATCCAAGGTTGAAAAGTCTGGGATGTTTAGTAACTCATGAAATAAACACCATTGGAATAAGAGTCTTTGGTGTTTTCTTTCCTGGTTGCACCTTGGACAGTAAATAGTGTGAACCCCCTGGGGCCAGTTCTCTCAGTGGGAGAAATACTGGCTTCTCTGTGGGTGTAGACGAAGGGCACACACCATCAGGGATGTCATTCCTAAGGCCTCCGGCTTTATGATAAAGCACAAAGTGCTTTAGAGGAGATTACTACTTGATTAAATGGGCTCTTAACCCATATTGCTCTAAAGAGCTTTGTCTATTGCCTGGTGCTTAGAAGGCCTGGCAGGCAAGCTGGGTCGGGGGGATCTCCCCATTCACAGAGTTTGAGGAAACAGTGCCAGCAGTTGTAGGGCGCCTGGTCCACAGTGGCCAGGTCAGCAAGTGGCAACGCCTGGCTTCACGCAGACTTCTTTCTGCTACACTGCATAGACACTGAGTTTGTGATGTTGTATAGTCAGGTCCACACTGCCTTGTCTGCAATTCTGAAATCTAGAAAAATTAAAAAATTTAAAAAAAATGTTTTTTAACTTTGCAGGAAGCCCACGTTACAGTAAAATAAAACCTGACCTGAATAACCTGCCACTATGATTGCCCTTGGTTTTCTCTCTGTAGAAATAGTAACACGTTTGATTGCGGGGGGCTGCCCCCAGGCCCTGCTGAGGGTGTTGGCTCACATACAGCATATATAACTTGCTCCTTTTTAAAATGCCAATAATCTTGAAAATCAAAAGCATACCTTGTCTCAAGGATTTCAGATCATAAATTGGGCACTGGGAGCCCAGTGTTGCCCTCCTCGTTTGCTAAAGCCGAGGCCTGGGTCCTGATTGAATTCCATGACCACTGACGGCCTTGCCGAGGCTTTGAGCTGACCAGCCACCTTCTCCCTCTGCTTCTCTTTCTAGAATGTTGGATGATTTCTCTCATGAGCTGGAGAGCACTCAGTCTCGGCTGGACAATGTAATGAAGAAACTTGCAAAAGTGTCTCACATGACCAGTGGTATGTATGGCGTTTAAAGCATAAGAATTCTTAATTCCGGAAACAGTCTCTGGGGCTTCTCACGCGGGTGTGCCCATTCAGATCCCTTTCCTGTGGCACAGTTTTCCACCGGCGGACTACACAAGGCCGGTGGTGGTTGGTGGCTTTTCTCCCGCTGGAGCAACTTTCTTTGCAATGACAAAATCCTTTTTTTATTTATTTTTCCTATTTCCTGGCCAAAATAGGGAACTGATTTTAAAATGAAATTTAGAAGCCAGTTAGTTAACTGTTTCTCCTGGACTGACTTCACTGCAAGAATAAAAAACCACTACCATTTCACATTAAGTGCCCTTTCAGATCAAATTTAAATTGTTTATATTTAAATCCATAGTGAAATAGTCCAGCAAATTTGCACCAGGGTGGGGATAAAGAAGTAACATTTTCCAAATTAGTTACTATATAGGAAGACGTGTTCCAGTAACTGTTTTTTTGATTACTAAAACCCACTTTCCCAAGTACATGAAAAATAGTATATTTTAAATCAAAGAAAACCTGGTATCTTTTTTTTTTTCTTTACTTGGTGGGGGTGGCTTGGTGAAGGGAGGAACTGAGATACTTCTTGAGGTAATTTAAGTGTTCTTGAACCATAGCACCTCCTCCCCATGAAAACTTCCCATTTCTTGACACCTCGTTTTTATGTTAGTTTCCCCCATCAGGTACATGTTATAGAGTGCAACAGTTTAGCCTTTTGAGGCAGGATTTAAATCCTTGTGCACATTTACTTTTCAGCAGTTTAATAGCCAAGCTACATTAGCAGTTCTCTGGGGCTCAGTTTTGTATGTATAAATAGGTTGGTGCCTGCCTCTCAAGGTCATGTGCGGATTAAATGAAGTAATAATAATTAATGCACAACTGTTTCACAGTGTCTCCCATGTGTTAATACTGAGTATATGTTGTTTAGGGGAAAAAAAGCAAGACAGGCAAAAGATGGCCCTGAGGGGCGAAGGACCCATTCTATTCAAAACAGACGAAAGCTCATCACTAGACTTCTTTTCTCTCCAGGGACAAATGTCTGTTGCTCTTGCAGGCGCGTCTTTGCCTGCAGCAGGCACCAGTTTAGTTCATCTTTGACACGTTGAGAGAAAGGTCTGCACAGTCGCCTTTCTGATTCCCTCTGTTCTCTCCTTTTCCACCCCTCACCCCTCTGCTTGAAAAAAAAGAAAAAGAAGAAAGCTTTAATGAAGTATTATATAACCAGTTTACACACCAGGCCTCTCACCAGTGTATGTATTAGTCGCAAACTCAAGTAGCTACTTCAGCACCAGTTTTGTTTGTGGAAGACCAAACGAACAAAGATGCACTGTGCCTTTGCTCCCCGGCGTTCTGGGGATGAATAATTTAGAAAAGTACTTGCATTGTGATAAGCCGTCCAGTGTATATAAATAGCACCAAAACTTGCTTATGCTTTATTCTACTTTTTTCCCGAAAGAAAGGTTTCGGGAGCAAAGTAAGAACTTGGGTTATATTTGTCTAGGAAAGAGAGCCAGGAAACAGCATTTAGCCTGAAAAGCCCTTCAGTTTGGACAGCTTGTCGGTGGTTTTCATTTTCATCTGTGCTTGCTCCTAAAAGCAAGATTGCTAAGGGCCCCCTGCTTGGTGGTGTCTGCTTCAGTCTGACGATAAGGCAATTTGTATTTGTCTCTGTTCTCCATAACTTTTGGGAAGGTTCACTGCTGGTTTTTTTTTTTTTTTTAGTTTCAGGTGTGCAAAACAATGTAATATTTAGACATTTATACCCCTTACAGAGGGATAACCCTCCTCCTCCAATTTACTACCCCTCTGGCATTGTACAGCATAAGGAATAGAGTCAGTGAGACTGTTAACAGCTATATACAAGTTCACTGCTTTTTAATCAAGCCTGGATGTACAGAAAGGATATCAAGACACTGATGTTCGATTAGTCAGTAACTGTGAACATGCACGCTGCATCGTTTTTGAGAGGCAGGACTTCCACTCTTCCATGGCCGGCTGCAGACATCAGCCAAGATGCCACACTTACTTATTGAACGACCCACGAGAGACCCTAATCTCATCATTCTCCTACCCAAACAAAGTATATTCTTTTGAGTAGACACCAAGGCTGTCTTCCCCTCGCTTTCCAAAATTCTATTGTTCAACTTTTCTCTTTAAGGGAGAAAAATACTTTGGTGGAGGGGGGAACTACCACTGGAGTTTTCTTTGTTCCCCTCTGATCTTGGAGGCAGGTCTTGCTTGATCTTGTAGAAAGCTGGATTGGACTTTTCACTTGAGGTCACAAAAGCCCTTATGGTTAGTTCCGCCCCTTCTGGGGAGAAGTCAGCTCAGGTAACAGCTCCCTGGGGTTATTACCTAGTTCATGCTTCATGGAAGGAAGGTAACCACTTCAAAGGAAATAGCTTTACAAGAGCATTCCTGGGCTGTGCTAGCTTGTGTGATGGATACTGTCCTTGATGAAAACCCCTATTTAAACAATTGCAGAAGAGAAAGTAATTGAGGGGGTTTGGTGGAGGCTGATGGAAGCCCAAAAAGTGGAAATCTGGGTTTGAAAAAGACAGGCAGCTGGGGGGGCGGGGGCAGGGGAGGGGGCAAAGGGAGGAATAAGTGCAGAAATTAGGTGTGAGATGGGGGATGGGGTAGTTAGGAAGCAATTACCTTGATGGTTTTGTCCGGGAAGAATAGCTACTAATTTCAATGAGAATGATTTCAAATTATTGTAAACATTTTAAAACAGATGCAAGAACGTCAGATCCTAAGGTTTTCTTGACCGTGGAAGTGATCGTTAGCCAGATTAAAAATAGTATCTGGCGTAGGCTAACTCTGGAATACTTTGGGATAGTCCTATTTCAGAAAAGGAATGGACAGAGCTGGGGTCTTCACCCTCATCACCCAGGAAGCGTGTTTCTAGCATTGCCTGAGGCAGAGCAAGGTGGTCACCACCAACAAGGTGTTTGCTTCACTTATTTCATTTAGTGGACGTTCTTTTGGCTGCTTTTAAGGTTTTGCTCTCCAGGACATTTAAATAATTTAAGTTCATGTTTTGTGGACTTAGTGTTGCCTTGTGGAAAGTTTTACAGTTTATTTTCCTAGATTTAGACCCTTTTATAATGTGATTCTCCCTAGCTATGGTGTGCTAAAATCTGCAGGTTTTTCAAGTAAACTCCTGATGATTCGGTATACGTTTACAGTTCTATTTAAATAGAGCTCTTATTTGTAGCGGTTGAAGGGCATTTTCATAGGCGAGTGAAATTCTTTTCTTTCAGCCTGACCCTCTGTGGGAACGGCAGGACTCATCAATGGAAAGACCACGTGTTCTTTCTACCCCTGTTCATGTTAAGGAGGCATCCTGACGAGGACAGCATCCTGGACCCCACAGTGTGCCCCAAGAGTGTGTGTGAGGCTATCCGTGGTGTTTAGTTCTCACAGCAGCCCTGTGAGGCAGCCGCTGTGGAGTTCGGGGGGCCGCCACAGTCAGGACGGCGGGCTGCAGCCGGGGTGGGCCCCACCGCCCCTCAGGGCCGGGCGCTCTCAGCCATTTTGCTGGCCTAGCCACCATTTCCTGTTTCAGAAAAAGACAGTTCACTTTCACTTATAGAAAAGCTGTCTACCTGACTCCAACGCGGTTACTGGTTGAGTCATCTTACTTTCCTGACTCGGTGTGGTGAGAAATGAATCGCTGGGGCTTGGCTTTGTCAGCACTGCTTCCTGAAGCGACTGGCAGCAGCTTTCCTCTCCTCGCCACCCTCCCACAGTGTCCGCTGAGAACAGAACAGTGTTGTTGAATTAAATGATTTGACTTTGGTGGGAGAGGCAGGCAGGTGGGCTTTGTTTGATCTGTCATGCCAGTGCCAACACCTTTTCCAGGGACACGGTACGCAGCAGCAGAAAGCTGAGAGCCACAGGTTTTAAAGACGCGAGACACGAAGCCTGTCCTACGACGAGGCAGCTTCCGGGCAGGCGCAGCGCGGGGACCGGTGCCCGGGCAGGGCCTCTGCGCGCCAGTTGCACCTTCTGCGCCTTCGCTGCTTCCGTTTCGCGTGGCCGTATCCCGGGGAAGGTGGAGCCCCTGGAGCGCTAATCCCCGTGTCCTGCCTTGCAGATCGGCGCCAGTGGTGCGCCATCGCCGTCCTCTTCGCAGTCCTGCTGGTCGTGCTGGTCCTCTTCTTAGTGCTGTGACGGCAGGGCCGTCCGCACGCGCCCTCCTGCACGCGAACCCGGGGAGGAGCAGCAGCAGCACCGGGGCCAGCGCCTCGCCTCCGTCTCCTGAAAACACAGCCTGCGCTGACTTTTCTCTTCGTGACCCCACCATGGAGGCAGCCCCTCCGTCCCAGCGCTGGAGGGGCCGGCGGGAAGAGGACGTGACAACGGCACACTCCTGGCGCTGCCTCCCTGGCCCCGGCTCCCTGGGGAAGGCCTCTGAGGAACCCGGAAAACTCTGCAGACTCTGCTGACGTTCGCTGTTGCTGTTCCAGCCCAACTTCGGCAGCTCCGACCTCCCTGCTCAGACTGCGGCCGCTGCCCTGTCCGAAGGAGCCCTGTTGGGAATGGGGCGCCCAGGTCCGCTTCATGGCCCCTGGTGGGAGCACTCTTTATCCCCCGAGAGCTGGCCATGATGGGGTTAAGGCCCAGAAGCAGTTTGTGACAGAAAATGCAGAGGTTCATTGTTCGGGGCTAAGTACAGGGGTAAAATTGCTTTTCCAGGCACCTTTTTTTTTTTTTTTTTTGTGGTAAGAATAACTAATGGAAAGTAATGAAAAGCGCTGGGCTTTGGGGGTGCTAACAACTTGTGTCTTGAATTGAAGGGAGGAGGGGCAGCAGACCCTGCGTGCACAGCCGAGGGCAGCGTGGGCAAGGTCTGCATTCCTGCGGCTGCACCTCCCCAGAGGCGCACCTTGTATTTTTACATGTACGGCTGCTGAGCAGCACACTTGAATGGATTAAGATCCTGTGGCACTCCGTCTTGGCGGGTCGGGGTTGGGAGTGGTTAGTTCATTTACTACATTTAGTCAGAAACTGTAATGAAATAAAAGGCTAGTTGTGGACCAGGCTTTTCTTACCCTGTGAGAATGGCAAGAAGGGGGTAGGTAAAGGGGGTAGGTAAACTTGTTTTGTTTCCCTAAGATGACAACTCGATTTTTATCATCCTTTCAAATAACTGAGCCAATCCAAATTTAAATAACAGATGCTTCAAATTGAGTTTTAGTTGCTGAGACACTCAAGTTTAAGCTCAAGCTCCTGGTGACTTTGTAAATGCCTCCAACGTGCCCATGTATATAGGATGTTTTTATAACCTCCCTGATGAATAACCTAATGTTGAAGTAGCAGCTGAACCCAGAGCCAGAGGCTGGCGGGCAGGCTGCCTTCCCCGCACCCGTCTCCTTTGCGCGTGGAAAGCACAGCAACATGTGGACAGACGTGTAGCTTTGGCTTCTCATGTCCTCATCTTTTGGGGTCCATTCCTCAGCACACTAACTTTTTCAAACTTTTTTTCTTGTTTTGTTTGCATTCCTTGTTTTTTTTGTTTGTTTGTTTGGGGCTTTTTTCCCTTTTTGTGTGTGTGTGTGATTTGCAATTTGCAATGATGTACTTGCTCAGCTAACTTTTGAATTGCACTTTTTAATAAATGTGTGTAACAATTTTTTAAAGAAGGGTATTTTCCCATATTTAGGATCATGGTAGGTCAGGAAATCTGCCTGTTGATGAAAGCTAAAAGTAGATTTATAAAACTGAAAGGGTGGTTGACATCCACGTTTACACTCAACTCTATTTGATATATAAATAAGTTATTTCTTTTCAAATTAGCAAAAAAAAAAAAGTGATTATTAACAAAGGGCTTCAGGTGTAGGGTACTAGATCATTTGTTTTACAAAGTTTTGAGACTTATTCAAATAGTCTTCTATAAACTTAGAACAGGGACAGTCCTTAGATTAGCATTAAAATATACAAGTCTGTGTTAGAACTAAATGTGGACCTGTCTCAGTACCGTCGTCCATGCTCTCCGTGGAGCGAGGCAGCCGGTGTCAGAATTCTATGATCGCCCTGTTTAAAAGCCATGCTGTTCTCTTGCTATTCCTAGGTTTACTGAGCCCCGCAGAACTGCCATGTGTGTCAGGAGGGCCTGTTGGGAACCCGTCTGATTGCTGATGAGTAAGATACTCTCCTGACTTCAGGGACCAGGTTTTGTGACCCTGAGGCTTAATTACTCAATATTTGGAAATATTTAGAATTGGCACACTGACCTCACTGACTTAAGGTGTTAGCTAAAGAGTGGTGGTTGTGAGCCAGACTCGTGGGCTAAAGCTCAATAGGGAAATATTTAGCAAGAGAACACTGACTGAAAATACAAGTGCCACGTGCTTTCTTCCTGTAGGGCCACTGCTCTCTCTGGGCCTCGAAGGAGCTGCTCTTTGATAGCTGGCCTCTCAGTGTGTCTTCAGAGCCAGCTATACCCCAAGCATCATTTCTGGCCCCACTGGCTTGATCCTGGGGTCTGAGCCTGTTGTACCCAGACTGGGCCGGTCACTACAGACGAGTGGGCATTGAAGGCCCCCTATGCTGGTGGTCTCAGAGAACAAGCCAGGGGCTTAGATTTATTTCTAAAGGCAGCATTTCCTCATCAGTGATGCTAATGTTACCAGGCTTTGGAGGGCAGCTAAGTGGCCCCTTGGAACCTGTCACAGACGGGGTTGGAGCAGGTACAGGTGACACCCCCCTCACGCTGCTTAGAAGCACACCCTGTCACACAGTGGGGCTCCTTTTCTCCTTCACTCTTCCACACCTCGTCCCATATTCATCTTTTCTAAAGAACTGGCACAATTTGATGGGTAATGGAGAAAGAGCTCCACTTGTGTTTATTGGAAGAACATTTTACTGATCAACTGACTTGGGGTAGAATGGGGAATGAAACACAGAGAGTTTGCCAGAGCAGGAGTCCACCTGGAAAATCAAAACACCTTCGTTTTCAGGCCTAATTTTTGAATTGTCTTTGTGTGAACTGGACAATCGCAGTGCTCCTTGTATGTGTTACTGTGATGTGTTACATGAGGATCAGCACGCCAGAGCCGAAGGGGGAGAAACTTGGTCACTTGCCCATGATTCTCTGCTTTTAGCCAGAGTTAAACAGACTGATGGGTCTGGGAGCCAACAACTTGGCAACGTCCCCTCCTTCTCACCTCGTGAGATTAAGGGCTGTGAAGAGAAATCCAGTCTAACTCCAACAGAAATCTGTCTCTGTTAAGTGCTGTACCTTCTGGAAGTAAAGATGGCAGAGCCAAGATTTTTCTTTTGGTAATTTCCCTGGCTGTAAAGCGAGACTGTTACCTTTCTAGAGAATTCATAGCATTGCAAGATCTCAAAACTGAGTGAAAAATATGCATTGCTTTTCAACTCTGGACTCTGAACTGTTTGGCTTTACCTTGTACTGTGGGATGAATTTGTAAAAACAAAATTCGGACTGTCAGGAGAGCTAAAGTTCTAAACTGTGGAATGCACTACTTTCAATTCTCCCTCTGTCTTCCTCTCACTGGCATTTCTTTCCCTCCTGGATATTTTAAGAATTATTATTAAAGTGTTGTTTGTCCATCAAGAGCAGAGAGAAGGTGAAACCAAAGGAGTCGCAGACTGACAGCCCTGTAGCCCGTCTGCAGCACCCCTGACAAAGTCAGTTCTCGAAGACACTGCCCCGTTGACAGGTCCAGTGAGGCCTCTGCTTCTGTGTGAGGGCAGTTGAGTCACCTGGCTGGCATGATAAAAGCAGGTAGTCTTTCTGGAACGGCCAGCTGCCCTTTCCCAACTCCCAGTCTTCAAAGTAGTTTATGCTTAAAACAGCGAGGTCGTGTCCTTGCAAGGCCTGCATCACACTGTCCTTCTCGCTGTGTTTACCTCCTAGTCCTCACTGGGAATCTGCTGTCAGAGAGTAGTGAGCAGCTCTGCTGGGACCTTTCAGGACTGAAGCCTGGTGCTGGGTCCCCAGGGCGGGCCTGATACTCCAAACCAGCTGACTTCTGGGGTTAGCTCCCCTAAAGTAGACTCAGTGGGACTTGGGATCATTTAGTTCAGTTCCCTTGTTTTCAAGATGAAACAATTACAGCTCCCCCAACAGACACGGGAGTCACTTGGCATGTTGCTTCTCAGACATGCCCCCCTGAGCCTGCACACTGGGGGACAAGCTGACCTCAGCGACATGACTTACAGTAGGCCGGTAGTAACTTCCATGCTCACCCCAGCTGTTTGATGTTTTGTGCTGTTGGGCAAATACTCAAGCTCTGGAAGTGCTAGTGGCGCCTTGGTCATGTTGCTGTGATCTCCATGTACTTGGGAGTTCTTTATATTATAGGTTCTTTCCTAACACAGATATGTGGGGAGGTGAGGAAGAAAGAAAAGGAACTCGTTTCCCTCGGACATAAGCTAACGTGTTGGTGCTGCTTTCCCTCTGACGGGACAGTTGCCCTTCCTCAAGGCTGTGACGATGGCAGCTGTGCTTAGATGACCCCATGACCTGCCCTACTGCTTGGCTTCACCTGAACATTTCATGGACCGAGTTTGCCTGCTGTAGCCAGACCCTTATGAGAACGTGTATTTTGCCATTTCTGTTTTAAGGTTATGAGTTTGCAAACTGAGAAGCCACTTGATGATTCAGAGGGTATTAGAAATAAGACCACCCAGCTTTGTTGTTGTTCGCTGACCAGAGCTCTCGGGCCCTGTTTCCCGGCTTTGGCAGCAGCATGTGCTCCACTCCAGCCAAGCTGTCAGCCCCGGGGGGTGGGGCCAAGTTCAAGGTGGTTTTTTCCTGCTCTGCAGAAAACAGGTTTCAGCTGAGACCCACTACTGAATGGCAGCTGTGACCCTGCAATTAAGGTCTGTTCTGGGAGATGCAGACGTCCTAATCCTCAGAAAAACAGTATCTGTGCCCTGTCGTCTGTGCAGGGTGAGGAGAGGCCAGCCAGGTGTGTCCCATTGTTACTGGAACTGCTCATATGCGCCACGTGATTACGTCCTAACCCACCCGGGCTGGGAGAACGCCCAGGGTGAAGGGGTGCCATGGAAACCAGAAAAGGGCCAAGGAAAGCCAGCTGTACGTGATTCTAGATTCAGTTTTTGCAGGTGGAAATATGCTTTCACTGGCTCATTTGTAATTAGGAATTAGTATCATTTAAAAATAGAATGTGTAATACATGGCAGTACTCAGCCAGGACTAAACTGTCAGATTTTTCTTCCAAGGATAATAAATAACTTGATAGCATTTTTTTTTTAAAATAACTAGAAGGTACAAACTAAAGAAGTGCGATCAAGGGTTAGAACTGAAATTGCCTGGGTGATCTCCCGGTGGTGCTTCCCGTCCCCTCCCCAACCCAAGGAGAGCGCCAGAGCCCTGCTGCCAGAAGTTTACAGCCCTCACTCACCACAGGTCGATAGATTTGCTTCTCTACATGGTCGGCCTCCAAGTGTGCTGTGGGACCAGCGGTAGCAGCAGTCCTTCGAACTTGCTCAAAATGCAGCTCCTCAGGCCCCACCCCTGATTTTCTGCATCACAGACCCAGGGTGGGGCCAGTGGGCTGTGTTTACCAAGCCCCCCCAGTTTGAGAATCACTGCTACTGCATTGTGGGACTTAGGCTACAGTATACCATCCCTGCAACTTAAAACAGCTTCCATGGCTTTGATTGTAATCCTGACAAACAAAATTTGGTGACATTATACACTTGAAAACTTTTTTTTAAATGTGTAAAAAAAAACACAAAACCTTAACTAGCCATCCTTAAAAGTGGTATTTTTACACCCTGAAGTCTATTGGTAATGTTTCTTACTTCTGCTCTTGAACTCATGTTACAACTGTATGAATACTGTTCAGTATTAAAGAGAAATGGAGACGCCATGAGCTTTGTCCTGGGTTGTTGGTTTTTTTTTAATTTGGTTGATGTTTGTTTTTAGTTCTTTCCATACCTAAACACGACTCTCTCCCTTCTTTCTGCCCCCACTCATAAACATGGACATGTGCCTGGGGTCGGGCAAGTTTGTGGCCGCAGGAAGGTCTGAATGCTAAATTGCGCTTTCTCTGACTGAGCTAGTTGCATGGATTTTTAGATCCCAAAATAGCCATACACTGTATTTAGAATATTGTCCAGCACAGAGTTTCAGTTGGGACTCGGAATCTGGAGAGCAGAGAGACTAGAATGCAAAAGGAACGGAGTCCTTCATCGGCCCCCTGAGTGTTGACAAACAAGAATACTGGCCACCTGAATGGTGGTTGAAAGAGGAGATCTCTAAGGGCAGGGATCTCCACAATCCATATGACATCATCACCCTCACTTATTACTTGAGCACCTTCTATGATGTGCCAGGCACTGTTCTAAGCACTTCGTATTAACATATATCATACTTCAATTGGCTGTATGAAACTATGAAGTGTCCTCATCTAATATCTCAAATCTGCAGGTGAGGAAACTGGGACAAGTAATTTTTCAAGGTCACACAGCTGATGAGACGCAGAGCCACTTAAGTGTCCCCGGTACCTGGCACAGCAGTTGGCACCTCCGTGCTTCACAAATCCTCAGCTTCATTTTCCCCCTGACGTCATAATAGGCAGCTAGGACGGGATGGGACACACAGCCCTCCTCCCAAGGTGCTGACACCTAGCACTTCTGTGGTGGCTCCTGCGTGGTGCAGGCACAGGCCCAGGCCAAGAGGCAGAGCCTGAGCATCAAGTCCCAACCATACACCTCTCAGGGGGAGGGGCGGGTTCTGGAACCCACCTTGGACTTGGATGCATACTCCCAAACCTGACTTCTGCAGTGGTGTCTCTCCCCTCCCCACGCCCCTCCCTGTGCACACCGTTTAAATGCTTTCTGAGTCTGTTTACAAAAGCTCACTTTAGGATTGCCTGGCTGTTGGGAAGGGGCCATAATAAGTCTTCCAGGAGCAAATTTCCCAAGTTTGGTTTCTCATTACAAAATAGCAGTCCTTCTGGCTGACATTTGATTTGAGGTGCCTGGCTGGCCTTTGACCAGGCTTTACGGACCTAAGAGGGAGCAAAACACTGTGTTTAATTATCACAACCTCATGAGGGAAATGCTATTGAGGCCCATTATATACCCCAAAACTGAGGCATGGAGCAATTAAGAAATTGGCCCAAAGACACCACTGGTAAGTGGTACCCGGGTCTGTTGGGACCATTACGCAGCCTCTCTTCAAAGAAAACAGAAGTCGTTTAGTTTTCAGTGGTGACAAGCAGATGTTTCACTAAGTCGTCCCCTAACCGAGGAATGGTAGCTGAAGAGAGGAAGGAGGATCAAAGAGCTGTGGTACAAGTTCACGGTGGATTAATGCATTGAACGCCTAGCCGTGCCGAAGATGGACACCAGCCGCCTTGGACTTGACCACATCTCAAACCCTATCAACCCACTGGAGTTCAAGAACTCTTCCAGGGTCTCAGGCAGGTCAGCCTGGCTGATAAAGTGTTTTGAGACTTTATTTGGCTGGAAATGTGCAAAAAGTGAGCGAGCCAAACTCCTTATTATATACACTCAGGAAATCCTGGAGGCTGTGTCTCAGGAGCCCAGGATGAGAACCAACACTGTGGCATCTGGACGCTGCTGTAGCCCCTGTGCCTGCCAGCGTTCCTTGTTTCTGAGCTAACAGAGCAGCATGGAGGCTGGTGAGCACGGGGCTGGCTCTTCTGGGAAGCGTTTCTACTCACCAGGTGGAGGGTGGCCTCCCGCCTGGGGCCCCCATNTGTCTCAGGAGCCCAGGATGAGAACCAACACTGTGGCATCTGGACGCTGCTGTAGCCCCTGTGCCTGCCAGCGTTCCTTGTTTCTGAGCTAACAGAGCAGCATGGAGGCTGGTGAGCACGGGGCTGGCTCTTCTGGGAAGCGTTTCTACTCACCAGGTGGAGGGTGGCCTCCCGCCTGGGGCCCCCATTGCAGCCCTTGGCACACTGGTTTGTCTCTTTCCCCACAGCCATAGCTGTCTCCACCTGGGGACATGGGCTTCCCAAGGGCAGGGCAGGCCTCTCCCCGGGGCCCGGCACCCCGCCAGACCCCTAAGGGCAGCTCCACACTGTGAGTTGGGGCCTGAGCCCAGATTGCAGAAGGACAAGACAAAGGCAGGCACAGCAGGCAGCCAGACATCCACAGGAGTGCCCCTGATACGCTCCAGGCCTGGCAGGGCAGCTGTTAAAGCCTGGCTCCATGCGCAGATAGCAGAGCCAATCCTAGCAGCCCCCTCCTCGGGGCCCAGCACTCCGACCTGGTCAAACTCACAGCCTGAGAGAGCTGGGCACAGCTTCTTGCCAAGGAAGGCGGCTGCCATTCCTAAGCAGGTGCTCTGGCTCTGTAGGAAAGGGGGAAACTTCACAGAGGATGGGGGCGGGAGAGAGGATCCAGTGACAGCAGGGCCTTGTGACTAGCTCCAGAACCAGCCTGGGGATTCGGGTGGAAAATGGGTTGGGCAGATGGACCAGGAAGTCCAGTTGTCGTGAGTGTGGTGTAGGATCAACAAGCAGTTCTATGTGAAAAGCCACAGCGAAGAGCCCTTGGTACAGACTCTATGGGAGCTGAGAGGAGGGGCCAAAGTCAGTGCGCAGATGTCACGGAGTGCTTCCCAGGGCAGGTACCGCAAATAGTTTTGAAGGTTGCCAAAGGGTCCATGGGTGGACACGACGAAGGGCGTGCCAGCAAAGGCACACACATAAGCTAAGCAAATGGGCGGGTGAAGGAATATGTGGAGTTGGGTCATGCCGGGATCAGGGAACCAATAACCCAGGCTTCTGCCAATAAATACGCATGTGGGAATCCTACTGCCTGGAGGCCAGTTTGGAGGACCAGGAAGGGCAGGCACGTGGTGGTCCCCCCTGGGATAGGGGCCTCCTCTTGGCCACAGGGATGTAGGATCAAGGATGCCTCCTCCCCAGAGGCAGGCACACAGACCAGCACACAGCGACCTCTGGCAGGCAGAGCAGGACCCTGCGGGGGGGACGGTGGGGGGACGGACGGACGGTGGATCCAGCGCAGGGGCGGGATGGAGGACCAGTCTGCT